TCTTTAGAAACTGAATAGAAGGCTTATGTGAGATAGTAGAGAGATGAGATTTGGGTTCTCTCAGGGCAGTAAAAGAATTCTGATTATTTAACTTGTTCTAGTACTACCTTGTCTTACAATATTGATTTTGTTATAATTGTTTTTATTAATTAGCCAGTGGTAATATTTTTTATGTCAAGAGGACTTTCCCGTCTGGGGGCAGGGCTTGCTCGCCTGAGCCAGGCAGCACCTATGAGGCTAAGACAGTCCAGAAGAAAACTGATGGTTGCTTGGAATATTTTGGATGATTATACAAAAAAGGGGGGGTCATTATATGAGCTAGCGTGGAAATTATGATTTTTCAGAGCATTTCCCCTCCATCCGGACCGTGTCTGACAACAGAAGTTGCATAGCTTGTGTCAAGATACCTCTAATACGTTGCATATCAGCCAGTTTGTCAACTCAGCTGGATGATCTCGGAGGGTCCTTCGTGATGGTTGACAGCAAACAGAAATCAGCCAAATCAATAAAATGGGTTTATTGGTGAACAACAGCAACAGGACAGTTTGGAAAGTACATTCTGGCAGCAACACACACATGAATGTCCTAGTAAAAAGCTGACACTTCCTTATATCACTTTTAGGGAAGATCCTTTTGGAACACGAGGTTCCTCCTTCTGGTCTCTGGGTTTTGATGACACCACTTCCTGTGAGAGAGGCAGGGTGTGTTGGGTCCTGTAGCTTGCTGACTGTGCAAGAGTGGAAACTCTTTTAGCCTCCAGATCTCAATAAAATAGGGGTTTTGTATATTCGTTTTCAAAGATCCATGTAGCAAGTTTTACATTATATTGAGTGCTACTGGGCCCTCCATTTTTAATGGACAGAAGGAAAAAATAAGAAATAATGGCAAGTAAAATATTGCAATCCACCATCTCAGAAAATTTTTAGTGATGTTTGGAGTATTGGTTGCTTGCTGTTTTATTTGAAATGAATGCTACAATTTATGTGTTTTTTTTTCCCTTGGGTTTATATTAAAAGAAAAGCTAAAACACTTAGAATTTAAAAAACTATGGAAGAATCCAGGTGTTACCAACAGCTCCCAGAGAGCTTTCCTCTCTGTAGCAGAATCAAACTCACTTAGTTTTAATTTTCGCTCTGACGGCTAGGGCTGGTGGACAGCCAGCCCTTGCGCTCAGGACCCTCCCTCACCCACTCCTGGCCTGTTCTCTGGGGTTTCAGTGTGACTATCTCACTGCTGCCCCCCGCCGGCAGATTCCTGGGCACCCGTGTCATCTGGCTAGCTAGCGGTGGGAGGAGCCGGTGGGAGGAGCCTGTGGGAGACCAGGTCGGGGTAAAGAAGCCCCCACCTTCTTTCCTATCAGGTCTCCAGCACCACAAGCTTCTTTGTGCTCCTCAAGTCAGCATAGTTCTAGTTTCTACCAAGTGAGCGGTATCTGAGCTTAGGGATCAGATGAGCCCTCACCTCCCCCTCCTAACAGCTTACTAACCTCTGAGTTACTTCATTGTCCTCTGGCATCTTAGCTTTTATGATCTACGAGATCAATTCCTCACTCAGGATACCTCTACTCAAAAGAGCCCAAATTTATTTATTTTTCTATTTTTGTTTTCTGTTAGATACTTAGTGTCACCGGCCACTGAGTTGTGCCTCTAGGGATAAATGCAGCTCCCTGAGAAGCTTCTTCCCTCCACATTTCATGAGAATAGGGGCCACAGGCTGACACAGACACTTAAACGGAATGAACCTCAGTTTCTACAATAGAATGGGTATTAAAAATATATCTATCTACTCCCAAATACTACAAATATTAATTTTTTTCAAGATTTATTTATTTATGCATACAGAACTAGGGTACAGGCCAGAGGTGCAGGGGTGGTAAGAGGATTCGCCAGAGACAGAGCGGGGAGCAGAACAGGCAGATTGATGAAGTACACTGCTGAGGGGAGCAGCGGGCAGGTCTGGAGAGATCTGCTGCGCCATGTGGGCCAACCTCGGGGTGGGAATTGAATTCATGCTGA